CCTCTCATCCCTAAGAAATGTAACACATTCTATAATAAGATCATAGCTTGGAATTTTATAGGGGGGACCTCCCTTCTTACCACTTTTCCGAAAACATGTAAGACTTTCTATAATAGGATCATAGCTTTGAATTTTATAGGATGGAAATTTGCTTCGGATTACTTGAACTACAAAAGTCTGGTTCTAAGGCTCCTTTTCAAGTAACGGCTTTTTTCTAAATGAATCGTTATATGATGGCGAACTATAATCACTAAAATAAGAATTGTATCAGTCGATCTGGTATCGGCCTTGCTCAGCTATAATTTTTTTATTTGTTTTAATTTAAAATTGTTTTTTTTTTTTTTTTTTAAATTTTCAATGAATTAACAAAACGAAGTTTTCGCTTTTGCAAATTGTTTGTTTTTTTTTTTTGTTTACAGGCACTCATAAAGTTCATTGTAGCGAAGATTTAATGCGCGTTGAAATTGGTTTACCCGAAATTAATGAACATGAAACAAGCAACAGTAGCACGAACACTGCCAGTAATAGTCAAAACTTTACTGAAGAGCCACAAATTTATTTGGAAGGCCTTAAAGGTTATCCGGATGAACGTTGCCATCCTGAAATAAATGCGTCTTTGGCCATTTTCCGTTTATCGTTAAGTGATTTCTATGAATGCGGTGTCACGCGTATGGTTAATCAGTTAACGGTAAATAACAATTATTAACCATATATATGTATATGTTTTTATAGTTCTTGTCTTTGTTTGTTTGTTAATTTTTTTTTTTTTTCTAGGGTAAAAAAGTCTATTACCACAAAATTATTATCGAATCTCAAAATGGCAAAGAAATAGTCAGTGTTAAATGCATTACCACTGGTCCGGTTTATAATCTAATGATGAATAAAACTAGCCGCGAGCCACCACGCTTTATACTGCAACAACAACAACAACAGCAGCAGCAGCCGTCATCATTGCAACAGCACCACGACATTACGCGACGTGATGTTTTACCGGCTGGCTTTCAAGAACCCGAGTAAGTTTCATAAAAGTATGGCAAAAAAACCGGCTTGTTGTTATTTATTTTTTTTCTTTTATTATAATAGATTTTTTTTTTTTTTTGTTTTGTTTGAATTATTATTTAATATACTTTTATTTTTTTATTTTTTGTTTAATAATAACCAAATAAGTTTTATTATTAATTATTATTTAATAAATTTTTTTTTTTTTTTTTTTTTGCTTTATTGATTGTAGAAAAAAATTGAGAAAATTATGTCAGTAGAAATGGTACAATGATCTCTCTTTTTTTATTTTTATTTATTTTTTTTTTTTATATGGTAAGTGTGCACAAAAAATTATGTTAACCCTTTGCCGGCTGAGTTTCCATTACTGCTCAACTTTTATGAAAATATTAAGTATTTGCAAAAATTTTGATCAGGAATTTCTACCGATAAAATGATAAAGAAATGGGAAATACCAGTGTACATAACGGTTGATTTTAACGATCCTCTTCATAAAGTAACTGGCTTCCATTTTACATTATTGATTTAATCGCACACTAAACTCCTGCCTTACGCTGGCGATTTATTTGAACAGGGTTGAAAAGGTCCTTCTTAGTGAAGTTTACAATAATTGCAGAGAGATTCTATTCATCAACGGAAAGTGTTCTGCCAAGGACCAGTGTTCTTTATTTAGTAGAGCAGGACAAGAGTGGAAAAAATGTTCAACTGGCTTGTCAAGCAACCAATCTTAAACGAGATCACTTTGTACATTCCATTAGACACCAGTGATAAAGTAAATACTTTATTCCACTTTAATCCTACACCATCCTCCATGTCGGCTTGCCAAAATGGAGGACAGAGAGAAGTGGACAGAGTTCGTCCTTGAGTGAAAACATGTCGCTGTTTCAAAATTTTATCAAAATATTTCGAAAATTTTGAACTTTAGGTTGAAGAGTACATGAACGGACGGACAGACTAATTTAGTTCGATTCAGAAAATGATTCCGAATTAACCGGTATAATCAAAGATTGGTTTATCTTAAGTCCTTCTGACTGTTGCATACATCCGCACAGACTTAATATGATCTCGCATCACAAGTGGTCCAAGGTATAAAAATATATCTTTCGCAAATATTGAAATATTTTTTATGCCATTTTGACCATTTGCTTATGTTTATAGCTTATTCTGTTCACTTTTCAGTCAGACGGGATAAGGATCGGTACTGAAAATTTATATATTTCTAATCGCTTTTGCGTAAATGAAAGAATTTTTCATTTCTCTTTGTGGTGGTTGAAGGTTTAAATATTTTTCTTTTTTTTATCTACCCATTATCCTAAAACTAACCGAGAATCGTTTAATAAGTAAAAACTTCGATTATCCAGATATTGTTTTGAAGAAAGGAGAACGAAGAGTGGATATTAATCTTTACTGTTATTTAACGGCTACTATGTGCTATGTGCTATTTTTATCACTTAGAACTTAATGCCGTGTAGCTGGTAGTAAGTATGTGAGGAAAAAGATAGCTCGTCAGTGTTACTCAATACTATTTAGCAACTTTCTTGCTTTTCCTAAGCATTCTTTGGTTTTCAAATGGAATTCTTCCAGAAAGCGCTTAAATTTAAATCGAAAAGTAGCAAATCGATGAGAGATTATAATTACTCCTTGAGTGCTAAAAGGGAATAAATTGAAATATCGAAAAGGATGAACTTTTGGCGCAAAAAAGTGAAAAAAAAATATGATTTAAACTCTCTATGTAGAAGAATACTTCAATTACAAAAAACACAATGATAAAACAAGTTTATGAAAATGTTCAATGACGAGCAAAAAAAACCAAAAAAAAAAAATAAAAAGAAAAAAAGATTGCATTACTAATCAAGTGCAGCTGATAAACGTTAACGCTGTAATTTATTTTCTAAAATGTATAGTAACAACGTTAATAATGATAATTATTTTGACCGGATATACATAAGAGCGATAATTTTTTATAATTCATATGATGCTCTAATATGTATATACACTTTATTTTTACTTCATTCGTTCTGTTACGCACCTGGACATCATCAGTCATTCGGAAAACATATAAATTTTAATAAATCATTGACGTTGACGTAAAATTTTATGTAAAGCAATGCAGACAAATTCTTACGCGTGCATACACCTATATATGTATATATGCGTAAGAATGGATCTGCATATATATATTTGTGTATATATATATATATGCGTAAGAATGGATCTGCATATATACGTATAGCAAGAGCTTGCATGTATTTTGATCAGCGGCATCTATTGATGAGAATGATCAAGCAATTAGAAGTATCAATGTACACAACGGTTAACGTCATCGTTGATTTTGTCCTCACTCTACATAAAATAGCAAATTTTCATTTACTATTATTGGGTTATTCAGTACATACAGACGCCACGCTAACCATGGAAAGCTCAAAGCTTGCATTTTCATCATTCATTACTTTCGTTGTTTGATTTAAAGAAATCTGCTGTTGAAGCCCATCAAACAATATTAGAAGCTTATGGAGATGCTTCTTCATTCTATCTCAACTACCGATCTCAGTGGTGATTTTAATGTCAATGACGAAGAACGGCTTGGGGGAGCAAAAAGTTCGACGGCAAGACTTATTGACCCATACTCTCAAAGATCATGCGAATAGCTTAGCAATTGACGAATCAACTGGTTCTAGACGTTTACATGCAATGGGAAAGATCAAAAGGAAGGGAATTGACTGAAAATGCCATTTCGAACTGCTTCAAAAGCGGAATATTTATGCTGCGCATATGGTGGGATCAACATGGTATAGTGGGTTAGGTGCTCCTAAAACCGAATGAAGCTGTTACTTAAGACGTCTATTGAACGATGTATTGTTGCAAAAAAGACCAGCAATAGCGGTTAAAAGATGCAAAGTCATCCTATTGCCTGAAAACGTTCGGCCATACGTGGCAAGAGTTGTCAAGGACACATTGTCGCAGCTCGTATGGAAATTTCTGCTGCATTCAGCGTAGTCAACAGACATTGCGTCTTCTCATTACCACTTTATCAGATTACCATGTCGACGCATCATGGCTTTTCAAATGCTGAAGAAATGCAAAAATGCGTCGATGATTGGATCGCTGCTAGATCGATATCGTTCTTTCGACACTGCCTGGTCATGTCAAACGGTCTTGTAGTTTCCAAACAACGACATTAGAATCTTACTAACATTCGTTTAATTTAAATGAATGTCAAATTCGAAATCTTATTCCTTCATTCATCCGTCTTGAACGCGCCCAAGTTAATATGAAAAGTTAAAGCATAATACGTTTGTACATAGCGTGTTTTCCATTTCTACAGATCAAGTTTTAATGTGGCCGGGTCTCACATGGTAACACAACTTTAAAAATATGAAAACAAAAAAAACATCATCCGGTCTAACATAACAATGTTGACAATGCCGTCAACCTTCAAACGATAAGTGTCCCAATTTCATGACATTCTGACGATGAGTTTACAAGTTACAACTGTTTCTAAGCAAAAAGTGGAGATCAGCCGGCTTTTCCCACTAATGCACTTGAAAGCAATCAAAAATTACGCATCTAACGCATACGCTTTATGCAAAGTGAAAATAAAATTCCCTCCATTTCCTTACTGATATCCCACTTTTTAGTGGGAACATTTTTTTATGTTCCCATTACACTAGAACAATCAGAGCACCTTTTGGATACTTGGAAATTTCGATGACTCAGAAATTGTTATACCTTACATAACTTGTGGCATATTAAGGGTATATTAATTCTGTGCGCATATATGCTGCACTCACAAGGACTTGAAATAGAGCAACATTTTATTATACCGAATATGTCAGGATCAGTTTCTGAATCAATTTAAGTGTCCGTCTATTCGTCCTATTTCATAGTGCTCACCTTACAGATATTTAAGAAATTTTAGTACATGGTATAAGAATATATTAAGTTTGTGAGAATGTATGCAGCACCCAGAACTACTCGAGAGAACCTTTTATAATACTGATCACGTTAGGGTCAGTTTCTGAATCGATCTGAGCTTGTCCGTCCGTCTGTCCGTCTTATTTCATTATGTTCAACTTACAGATATTTAAGATATTTTGGTAGATGCCGTAAAGGTATATTAAGTTTGTGAGTATGTATGCAACACCCTGAAAGACTCGAAAACATTTTACTACACCGATCATCTCACAATCATTTTCTGAATCAATCTAAGCCTGTCCGTCCGTCCTTTCGTTTTAGTGCATTGCTTTCAACTTATAGATATTTAAGATATTTTGGTACATTGTCATATTTTGCCCTAAGGAGGAACGCTCCCAATTGGACAACTTTTTCGATCACTACCCACACACACACACACACACACCTCATTTTGAAAAGTCGTTATATGAATAATAAGTGTTGGACAATAAAGTTGATGTTGAAGCCCACTATAATGTCTTGACATGTTTTATATATATGTATATACATGTATGTATCTGACATATTCAATTAATATTTAATTTTTCACATACTTTTTAATCAATTTTTACTTTGCAATTTTTCATCGTTGGCCTATAATGCTAACAAAGCATTGTATATAATTATGTTATCTTAAGATCGTGTGTCATCGTTTATGTGATGTGCATGTATTTGTATTGATACAACATACCATGCAATTTGTGTTATAAATTTTACTCTTGTTTTTGTTGTTAGTGTTGTTTTTATTCTTGTTGATGGTGGCAATTCTTAGTAAGAAGGGATCATTCATCACATGGAATATACGCATGTTTCGCCTAGAGGAGTATGTATCACATCAAGGAGCTTCATTTGAAGATATTAAAAAAAAAAAAAAAAAAGAAAAAGGAAAACAATTCATCACTTGTTGTTATAGTTGTTATTGTTTTTTTCTTTGGTTTTTTTATTTTTTTTTTTTTTTTTCACAACATATGTTATCATAAATATGATAATTGCCAGTTGTGTGAATATGTAAGCTTGCATATATGTGTGCGTGTGTGCATGTAGATGAATACCATTGAACTTACCTATGGAATATCGAGCAAGTCTTGTTTTAAGAATAACACAACCCTGACGGTGTTTCCTTTAATTAAAAACAATCTGCAATGTTGTCTCTTAACAATTTAAGTCCTTTACGGAAACAAAGATATTTCTAAACGCAGACGGAGGCTTTTTATGCTTTACACCACTTGTGGTGCAGGAAACGCTATGCTTATGCGGATCTGTGCAACACGCAAAAGAATTTAGGATAGAAGATCAGCTTTATTATACCGATGGACTCAATATTATCTCCTCAATGGTGTAGTTAATCCGCCAACGAGGATAGTTCTTCTCAACAGCATCATTGTTGGCTTCTTAGGATTCAAGCAAAAAAAAATAAACAACTGGGCTCTTCCTCAGTATCCGTAGATGACACGTCGAGCGGAATGCTGAAAGTTATGTCATCAATTCCGAATGTTTTGTGTACTTGTCAATATCAACTTTCGCAAGCCAACAGAAATACTTTGAATCGCCACCCAATTGTCACAAAATCAAGGAAAACGGATGAACTCAGATGCTAATAGACAGTGTTACCTTCACAAACCTTCAAGGTGATAAAGTTCTCTCCGCCATTCGTTACTAAAATAATCATTACAAACTGCTTTCGTCTCAATCTGTCCGTCTGTCCATGTGTTCATTCGTTGATTTGCTGATGACAATTTGAATTTCATAAAGCAGACTGAAAAGCTCCATCATGCCTATGCTTATTTTACTTAAAAAAAAATTAATAAAAGTTGTAACAACTTTTCTTCGACAAATTACAAAGTTGAAAAAGTGCGAATATTGTAATCAGGCAAGACCAACCATTAGATACCCTAGGCCTACGCTTTGCCCAGTACAATTATTCATTCGTTTTGGCGATAGTGCACCAGACATTACACACTATTTTAATTCAAAGCGTACTTTTCATGGCAGCCCCCATGTTGGAGGATGCCCCAGATATAACATGGCGTGATCAAAATTTTTGCAAACTTAGTTTACCTCCCAAAGTTGTTAATATTTTTCAGTTTCCGTCGTGGAAAACTAGAAATTGAACTTTCTTTCCATATTGGCGCTTACTTTTTATGATAGCTCCTATATACGTTAGGATCTAAAAAATAGACTTATGCTGTCCAACTCCCTTACCGTTAATTTTTGTGCTAAATTTCTACGATGGATTAATTATCAGTATAAAATATTAAAAATTAAACCTTCTATGGAAGGGCTTACTATTCGTTAGAAATATTATATAGCGTGACTTTCAAGAAATAGATCTATGTGGTTCAACTTTCTGCCACTTAATTTTCATGTTTAATTACTACATTGAACAAATTTTCATTATAAAACTTCCAAAGAATCCTTATATGCGTTGGTATCCAAAAAACAGACTTATATGGTTCAAATTTGGTAAGGATTTCTAGTCTATGTCAATTTCCTATTGTGAATAATGAAATATTGAAATTTACACCTGTTTACTATATAAAGATTCAGTTTTCGGAGGAAGCGTTATATGAGAGGGGTTCAAAAAATTCCTGTAGTTGGATGAAAGTTTTCACACCAATTTAGAATACCCACATAATATTAATTAAGTAAATTGCGTGGAAGTGATCGAAAAAGTGGACAGATCCGAACCATTTACAATAGGATTCATACTTGGGCCAAATTCGTCTCTATACCCAGCTTCATCAAAATATCTCAAAAATTGCGGCCTCTAGCTTGAATGGAAAAAGTACTTGGAAAGACGGACAGACTCAAAAAATGATTTTGAATGGGTCGATATAACGGTGTGTACTACAAAAACCCGCACAAACTAATACACCCATAACGTACTTAAAATCAATGAAAAATGTATTTTTACTTGAAATGATGGGCGTTTAACTTCACTTCTTACTTGTTATCAGCATCACTGCTGGCCTTCTTCCTTTGATTCAAACACATGGAAACAAGCAAGAAAACAATCTCTGCATGGATTTAGGAATTTCTGTCTGGCTATCCGTCCGTATCTGATTTATTCACCGAAACTCTGACAGTCTTTCACACACCAAAAATTGAGTCAGAAAACGAAACACACAATAGATATTCTAGGCCAAGGAGGGAAGACGCTGCCAATTCACTCTAGTCAATAGGTTTTTTAATGTATACTAGATATTGATCTTGAGGACTTAAGGTCCAGACTCGCTAAAAGTTCAATTCAAACAAAATATTTTTGAAAACCCTTTTGTGGGTTACTTGCTCTTCGATTGCTTTTCAATTTTTTCTTTATATTTTTCGATTACAGTGATTTAGAAATTACCACATCGTTAACTGAACGAGCACCAGAACCACGTCTCGCCATTGGAGTCAGTCAGAATGGCAAACGTGTCACAGGCGATTTAACAGTCACTCCCGGGACACCTTTAACTATGGAAATTAATTTAGATCGTGATTCAGCTCCCGTTTATGGCTTGGGTGTCAACTATCTAGAAGTTACGGATACACGACTGCTTTCGGAAACTATTATTTTTAAAGGGTATTTATTACGTGAAACCTTAGGAGAAATATTTTTCTTAATTATTTTTCATTTTCATTAAGATGTACGGTCGATCCTTATTTGTTTGAAAATTTCAATACCATCGATGGGGATACATTAAGTGCTAAATTTAAAGCATTCAAATTTCCCGATTCCTCCTACGTACAGTTCCGTGCAACGGTTAACGTCTGCCTCGACAAGTGTTTAGGTACTCAATGCTCGAATGGACAAATCGGTTATGGACGTAGAAAACGTGAAGTTAGCGATACGAAGCTAACACCTTTAATGGATACAAATAAAGTTTACGAAATATCACTGGCCATGTTTATCAAAGTTAACGATGTCGAAGGAGTGAACAGAAGTAAGTCACGTCAGCGAGTCAAGCATCAATAGAATAGATAGATAATATATGAATGAAATATGAAAATATTTTCTTTACCCTAAACCAGATGAAGTTTTACGTTTGGAGGAGAAATTACGTGAATTGAAATTAGCCAATCAACGTTTGGCTCGTAACAGTCGCGGCAATTTCGCTGAACCTTTATTGAAAACTACTGCCGAAGAACCGCAACTGCCGTCAGCGGTGCCAGCTTTTGTAGTCGATGAAAAAGAATTGGAAGACGCCAGCAGCGGTAGTCTGTCAAATGCTAACAATTTACTATCAATGGTGATATTAATGCTTTCCATTCTTCTAATGTTTTGTAAAAATTTGTAAATAATTTCCAAGAAAAAAAAAAAAAAGAAATCGAAAAATAATATAAATCTGTTCTTTCTTAAATAGTAATTGATCTTAATTTAGCAAAACTAATTTAAAAAAAAACAAATTATTTTTGTTAAATTGATACAATTCTTATAATAATCTTAATTTTAATCAGGTTTTTGATATAGAATTAAAAAGAATTTTTCAAAAATTCTTAATAAGAAATTAAAACGAAATATTGAGAAGAAAAAAAAGAAAAAATTACTGCCATTTTTTTGGTCTCTCCTAACAATAATATTTTCTTTTTATAAATATTTAATAAATTCGAATTAATACTAGTTTATAGATTTGAGTTAAATTTTTATTTTTGGAAAAATCTGTTAAATTTCCAATTATAAAATTTTTAAATTAATTAAGCACTACTAGTCTACTAAGTTTAATTACTAAGCATAAATACAAGCGAGAAATAAAATGAATATTAGTTATTAAAATAATTAAAATTAAAAATTATTAACTTAAACTGAAATCGTCTGCAATAGTTTTATTTTCTAAAGCAATTTATTAAGACATCACGTTCAAAGGTCGAATTGACCTTAGCCCAGCATCTTTCTAATCATTGCAGATTTTTGCTCAGATTTTGTCTCATCGATGAGAGGTCTAGGTTCTTGGCTTATCTATGTATCTGTTTTCTGCTGGTAGCGGCTTTTAGGTCATCTGCTTAGATGCTCATCTTCTTACTAAGCTAAGGTTTTTCTTTATCAAGCTAGTTGTTTCCTAAAAAATCTAAGCTACCTAGAGTAATCGCTTTTTCGTTAGCATAGCTGTTTGTAATCAAGTCTAGGTGTAATAACATAAAAAAAGCCATATTCTCAATAATTTGTATACAAATTCCAAACAACTGAGAAAATAAAAATTCCATACAACTGAGAATGTTTGAATATCTACGTTTTCGCTGACTACCCTTAATTTTACTAATCAGCTTAATTCCTTCCTAAAAAGCCGAGCTTCTCTTTAAGTGGTCTAGTTACCCTCTGCTAAACAAATAAAGGATATTTACTTTTTATTAATGGATATAAAAATAAATCTGATCCTGGTTAATAAAACTCGTTAGCTTTAAGCAAAAGAAAAAAAAACAGGTATGTCGTCCTTTATTAAATTCAAAGAAAATACAACTTCGTTGCAAAAAATAATTAACTTCAATATAAAGAATTTTTCCTATCATTGTTGTAAATCCTTATTTTAAAATTATATTCATTTTTCTTTCATTCATTTCAATTTCCGTTTTTAAACCTTCTTTTAATTATCAAAATAAATTTATCTGCTTTTTAACTGCGTTCTCAAGAAATAAACACCTGGTGACTAGATACAGACCAGAGTTGCTTCATTTAATTTATTTGCAACTTTTGGATATTAACACGAATTTGCAGTAAATTTTATTGAATAGTGGCAATCCTTGCTGAGAAAAAACATTTTACTTTTGTTTACGAATGTTATCATAAGAAGATGAATCAAAGGGAATATAGTAAAAACAAATGGCAATTTTGTGCTTTAACAAAAAAAAACAATGTTTAAACAAATAGAATAAATTATATATTTATTATATACATATATATATATTCTCCTTTGCACACGGAGAAGCAAATTAAAGTTATCAATCTAAAAATTGATTATTTCCCTAAAATGTTCGTTGAAAATGCAATGGAACGCATTAGAATGTGTGTGATTTACCAATTAGTGATATTAATAAATTATGCTAAAATATAATTCTTTATAAAAGCAGAGCAATTATTCATAAGCCTGAAATAAAAAGCTTTGAAACGAAAGTGAAATCTTCTCTAGTTGACAACGTGTTAAACATTACGATAGTATAGCTTCGTCGCTGATGTTAGAGACGCGTTCTATTAATATGCATTTTATTTTCCACCAAACGTTAATTAAATTTTAACCGGTACGTCCGCACGGAAAATATGAAACAACTAAAACAATTTTCAGAGCGTTGAAAGGAAAATTGTTGGAATCAAAGCCGACAATAATAATAAAATCTAATGTTCATTGTCAAAAAAATAATAAATATTAATAATTCCGCGGGTGCATTTAATATATAAAAAATTTTCCAGCAAATCTATTAATGTATGCTGATTAGTTTGTATCATTATGCGTTATCATAAGATTTTAATCATAGCTGGATTCCTCATAATCTGGACTTTCGTATTTTATTATTTTATGCTACGTAATAGCATAGATTTTCCCCTTCCCGAAAATGATTATCGACGTAAGATGATGTTTAAAAAAATAGAAAATCAAGTAAAACAAGAGCTTAAGAAGAGTGAAAAGCTAACAAACACAGTTTTACGATATTTGAAACTAAATTATCCATCGGAAGTTAGCAGCAATAAAAAACAAGAATCTCAAACACCTCAACAGAAAGACCAGGCGCCACAACTGCAATTAGTTGGAGTAGTTCCTCTTACCGACAAGGAACAACAAACAATTATGGGTTTGGTTGAACCGCCAGAGCAAGAACAGAATCATTTGGAATTACCTCATGTTGAAGCTACAATAAGTCACCTGAAAGATGGCCAACCCATAATACCCATATTAGTATTAGCCTGTAATCGTGTATCTATAGCGAAATGTCTCGATAATTTAATACAATATCGTCCTAACGCGGAACAATTTCCTATTATTGTTTCTCAAGATTGCGCCGATGAAGCAACTCGTAATGTTATCTTATCCTATGAACCGCAACTTACTCTGGTTGAACAACCCGATCAATCAGATATATTTGTACCACCGAAAGAGAAAAAATTTAAAGGTTACTATAAAATTTCTCGTCATTATAGCTGGGCTTTGAATTATACCTTTAGTCAAGGTTATGAATATGTTGTAATAGTAGAGGATGATTTAAACGTAGCTCCAGACTTCTACGAATATTTTTTGGGAACACATCATTTGCTTAAACAGGATCCATCATTGTGGTAAGTATTTTTCGGAATGCTTTTAATATCAACTAATTAAAATTTGCTATGGCTTCAGGTGTATTTCTGCTTGGAATGATAACGGCAAAGCTAAATTTATAGACGTTTCACATCCAGATCTATTATATCGTACTGATTTCTTTCCTGGATTAGGATGGATGCTAACTAAGAATCTCTGGCAAGAATTGTCGGTGAAATGGCCGAAATCGTAAGCGAAAACTAAGTCTTGCACATATGGTCACACTCTGTTTAATATATACATATTTACAGTTTCTGGGATGATTGGATACGACATCCGGAGCAACGAAAGGATCGTGTTTGCATTAGGCCAGAAATCTCACGTACCCGTACTTTTGGAAAGATTGGAGTTTCTAAGTAAGTAAGAGGGAGTACCTTCATATCGAACTTTCGTAGAGAGATAAATTTCGTTTGAATTTGAAATGCTGATCTAATTTGTTTCATATTGCCACAGTTAGGGGGAAAAACATGTATATCATAACTCCAATTCTACAAATATAGAAGAATTATTTTTTGACCTTACTTTTTAACGCCAGCTAGAGATAACGTAGTGATAATGAACGCTTAAATTGAAAAAAACAGAAAAACTTTTGCACCATATGTATAATAACAATATATATAAACCATATGTTATAAACATGTAAACCATTCGAACCATACATATATGTAAAATATATATATGTATATTTATATATATGTATATGTAAAAAAATATTTCATATTATATATATATATATTATAAAACGGGAAAACTTAAAAAAAACTTAAGAAAAAAATTTGTGAAATGAATGAACATAACGTACATAAATAAAATTGGATGGAAAAACTACATAAAGATGAAATGATAAATAAGCTGAATAAAAGATCAGCTCAAGATTACCTTCTTCCTAACCGCCATCATATGACACCGTTGTAATAATTATTCTAAATGGCCAGAGCGGATCAGACACACGTCCTTTCAACTAACCAAAAAAAAAGAAACGAAAGAATGTTTTATGTCTATATCGTTATCAAGAGACTCTTGTTGCCATTACAAAAGTAGTTTAAACTAAGTTGGAATCCGACAAAGCTCTTATGTCAAAAAGGCATATATGTTATAAACATTTATAACCTATTTATTGTATTTTGAAGAAATTTTTTTTGTCAGAAGTTAGTTACAGTTTTACATTGTACTGAATGTGTTGACAGGCTAATAGGGGAAGATTACATTCAATTATCCCACATATTCTTTTTTTTTTGGCGACCTATCGTCTCTCTCTCTCTCTCTCTCTCTCCCTCTCTTTATATATATCACTTTTATAATCTTCTAAAGATTATTAAAATAATTTTTCTTTACAGTGGTTTATTTTTTGATAAATATTTACGTTACATAAAGCTTAGCGAAGAATTTGTACCGTTTACTCAATTAAATCTCAGCTATTTACTAAAAGTAAGTGGAAAAAATTGGAAAAAAAACTTATAATTTATTCTTAATTTATGTTTGAAATAATAATTTTAAAAAAATTTTTCTTTTAGGACAATTACGATAATACTTTTTTGAAGAAAGTTTACACTCTTCCCATTGTGACATATGATGAATTGCGACGTAGATTAATTAGCAAAGATGGTCCAGTGCGTATACAATATATAAACAGAGAACAATATAAGCGTATAACCAAAATGTTGGGTCTTATGGATGATTTTAAGGTAATAATTAAAAAAAATTAATGAGAAAATTATTGTCGCGTTAAGACAAAATTCTATTATCTATCGCCTGAAAAACTTCGGTTTTGTTGTTGTAATTAGACCTATACAGCGGACATTTATATTTTATAATGATATATTATTTAGCATTAGGACGCAATTATATGAAAATGTGAAGTGTTTCAATATCTTTTGTAAATCTTTGAAATGCAAACATGCACACGAACAGTGGGGCAGTGTTACAATGTCCTATCTTAATCTGTGTGTCGAAACAGGCACGTCGACCGCAAAACTGACAGATGAATATGACGTTATTAACTGCGTTGCATAGGCTGTCCAGCGGTCCATTCCAAAATTTTTATTACATCAATTGAAGGAACCTTCGTGTTTTTATATAAAATTATATATATATATATATATATATATATATACATATATTGGTGGAAATTAAGAAGAATATACGATTACAGAATGGCGTTATTTGCGAAGTTCTTAGTAGGAGAATTTTAGTGTTAATAATAGGTACTATCTTGATTAATTGGAAGCTTCAGTTCACGTTTCTTCCTTTTTTATATTTTAGTTGTTGAGGAGATATGCGGTGTATACATGTAACAAGTTTAGGGGCCGAAAGAAGTCGGAAACGAAAAATAAATAGAGAGAGGCTTCTATTTGGTTGTGTGCCTAAGCGTTAGCCCTTTGCCGACTGAACACTAACTATAGTTATGATCAAATATGCTCTAGCGCAATGAGATTAGAACCCTCGATCAACCCTCGAAATGCAGATGCCATATTTTTCGGACTATTAGACGCACCTTTTTACATAAAAAAATGGACTCAAATTTTGGGTGCGAAGTTAACATTTAAATGTATTTCCAAGAAATCATCTTTAAATTTGTGGTACTTGAGATTCGACAACAATAGTTCAGGTGAAAGTCATATGAACGGTGACATTAACGAGACGACAGATAGTACCGAGCATGAAAACGAAGTGAATATTGCTAGTACGAGCTATGTTAACAATAAATAAAAATTCTGATCTGACAGTAACATTAAAATATATTTTTCTAAACATCATTTTATAAATTGGAAGTGCGTCTTATAATCCGAAATATACAGTATAAATTTCGAATGCGTTTTTTGAGTAATAACGGGCAACGTTTGCTTCGCGAAACGTGGCGTAAACTGATCTCAGATTGCTGACAAAATTAAATGCAGTTGTTTTGTTTAGGTTTAGGCGACCACGGAAATTTAATGCGTTCGTCTATTCGAATTTAGCTCTACAGGCTATTTGCGCGCAAAATGTAGCCCTTTCATAAAATTTAATCATTTTTGAAGCCGTGGGGCTTTTCAAAATTAACGTACTGAACAGCCCTTGATGTATACGTAAAGTTTTGCAATCTCCTGATCATATTTTATTCTATTCTGTTCTAACGAAACTACGGCAGTAACCGTCGCTTAGAATATCCGATGTTGAAAATCCTCAACCGTTTGTCCCCACATTGCCGGTTGCTAAGGCAATAGCGCGAGAAATTTGGCTAAAATTCTTCGATGAATTCCAGTTTACTGATGTAGATGCTGCTATGATTTTGACGAGTTTATTTACTTATCTCTTTAATGAGGGAATTGTTTGCGTAGCCGCCAATAATCGCCATCCTAAGCATCTCCACAAAGATAGGTTGCAGCATAGCAACTTTCTTTTCGTAGCAAAAGACTTTAAAAGAAATTGTAAAAAAAAAGCTTACGATTTAACCTCAAACATATTCCAGGCATAAAAAAAAATCGTTATATTCAGACTTAAATGAAATAAGCGCATCTTTGATGATAGATATTAAAAAAAACTATAAAAAAATATAAAAACACAATTTATTTTTATTATTTTTATATTTATATATATATGTGTTATATATGTTTTTTTATTAATAGAGTGGTGTACCGCGCACTGCCTATCACGGCATTGTATCATTCTTTTATGAAAAACGACGAGTCTATTTAGCGCCGAATCTCAATTGGAAAGGCTACGATCTATCATGGAGCTAACAGAATTTCTTCGCTTTAAGTTTAACGTAGTTTGTAAACGAAGGGATAAATAAAAACGGGATTTAATTTAGAATCAAAAATACAATACAAAAAAGCAAATAATGCGTCTAACATGATTCCTTGATATATAATTACTGTAAAACAAGCAGAGTTTTATGTAAATTAAATTATAAATTATATAGAATTGATTTGTAGACAGTGAAAAAAAAAGAACAAAACGAAAGAGAAGATAACCAAATATTTAGCTTAGAATTTTAGTTATAATTTCATATATATATATATATATATATATAGTTTTTTATTTTTTATTTTTTTTTTTTTTTATTTTCTGTACGTATCAAATCTCATTTATATTAATTGAAAAATCTCAAAATTTGAATTTAACCTAAGCCACCTAAAAAAAAAAAAGAAAAACTAAAAACTAGAAAACGAAGAATCTACGAAAAATTAAATAATATTTTAATTACTTTGCAATGACAATATATTATTATATGTTTGTATGTATGAATGAAAACAATGCATTGTAATTTATTTATCTAAATGCAATGTATGCATCCAAAGCCTGACACGCAATCTTTTTGATATTAATTGTTGTTTAAAATAAATTCATAGAGATATTATGAACTATTAGTTATAATTGTTTATAAAATCTTATATATACAGACACCGAATACATACACACATAAACTTAAAAAGGAAAAATAATTACAAGTTACATCAGTTTATTATATTCATTATTATTTTTTGTTTTTATTATTATATTAGCGCAAACGTTAACTGTGTGATGATTATGTTTAACATTTACTTTTTTCTTTTTAAATGCATATTCAAATATTATATTACCCCATCCCGTACTCCGCCCCCACCTCCAAAACAAATAGATATTATTTATATATATTAAATATTATTTTAAATTTGATTTCGTGTTAATTGTGAAACAAATTATAATCAATCCATTGAGTGGAATATAAAATAATTGCATTAGGTTGACTTGACAACTTAGTGATAACCATTCGAATGTAGAAGAGTTTTTAAATAAGCTTAGCTTATATTGATTAAATTTAAAAAAATTGGTCAAAGCTCTTTTGAATCGTTTCAAATCAATCTTATGATCAGAGCTTTAAGTTCCACACTAACTTCGTTCAATATTGGGCTTCCGCACTTTAATCAAAAGTCCTAAACTCCAATTAACTTTATTTAATCAATCCATAGACTAATCTATATCTCTATATTGTCTAATATTTTAAGACAAACTTTTTATAATCGTTTGATTTGACTTTTATTAGCGCTATCGGAGTTCAGTTTTTCTCACCTCAATATAATTAAGACTTTCAGCTCAATTTTGATTTAGACTGTCACGAACTGTCCACTTTCTGCTAACCTAGAATAATTAGATTTAATAATATCTGAAAAAGACTATTAGTAGACAATCGGTCGCGGTAAAGTTTCACGATCCCTTCATGCATATATTAAAATTAAATCAATCTTAGCTGCTTGATCCAATTCTTAAATTGTGTTACGCAACTTGCCTTTTATCCAAAGGGCAATCCAAGTCAAAATCGTATGACGTGAAAAGTGATCTAAATACCTTTCGCAGATCTTGCTCAGAAAAACCCATTCCAACAAACTTTACATTTATTTGCCTTTCTTCTTAAGAATCCTTTCTGAAAAGGAATTTTAATCATTATAAGTTGGTTTGCATTGGCTTCCACGGGTACAAAACACCTGCTATTGAATCGTATTCTAAGTTTTTATGTGATAATATATAGATATGAATTTAAGACTCACATAAACAGATTCCTTTCACCATCTGGTATGGTAGCTATATATGTATGAATCTCTCTGTAATAACTAATGTACTCTGCCGTAGAAGCAGTTTCTAAGTAATTGAAAGATAAGAATTCGATTCGAAATAAATGAATGCTTTGCAGAGAAATGAATCTCAATGAAGTTTACGATCATTTACCTTCCAATTATTTGCTTTGTAATGACTTTCAAAAGTGCCCAAACCTGCCGAAAAAGTTCGAACGATGTCTGTAGACACTGTTTTATGTGATAATATCAGCAAAAGTTTAGGAAACTCCCTGAATGCTTTCAATTCAATTGCTTTGGACTTAAGTTCCTTGATAAGTAATTCATTTAATGAATTGTAAGCTATTTAATGCTTTTGTTCGCTAAGAATCTCTATGGCAACTAAAGTTAGACTTATTAGCTCTCTCTCTCTCTCTTTCTTTGCCTCGTTATTATTAACGGGCGTCACTGACAAAATCATATAATATATATATATATGTGTATTTATGTATATATATTTTACTAATAAAATTGTAAAAATTTTATGTATATTGTTCTACTTCTTCTTCTACGACTGTATATTTGTCAGTGTTCAAATTCCTGTATAAGAAGAAAATTTAAAATAATTTTTTTAAAAATTCCAAAAGTATAAATTTTCTCATTTTAATTATTCAATTTTATGAAATGATTTGTAATTAAAAAAAAAAAATTGTTTTTTTTTTTTGTTTTTGTAAAACATTTTGTAAAAATTCTTCCCAGAGTGTTTAATATATGTTCCAAAATTTTGTTAATAAAGACTTTCTATGAAAAACCTGTAAATTGTAATTATTTTCTTATAATGAATTCTTTCTATAATTAAGGCTTAAGGGTTTTTTGAAATTGTTCTAAAAAAACTAAAAACACTATAGTGGGCCAAGTTCAACTATTTAAAACCCTACACACTCCTCTATTCATATAACGAATTTTCAAAATAAAGCCTTCTATGGAAAATGATTGAGAAAATAACCCGATCCGGATCATTTTGAATGGCGTTCGTTCTTGGGCTAAAACACTTCGGCGTACGAAATTCTATCAAAATATCTCGAATATCTGTGGGTCGAACACAATAAATTAAGGCGGACAGCCGGACAGACATACTTAAATCAGAGTATATCTGATCTTGCATGTAAATACGATAAAATATCTTACATCTTGTTGCGATACTTTTTCACGTCCATTCCAAAATGAAGACATGGCATTCTAATTGGCAATGTAGACTTTAAAATCCGATTATAATAACTAAAAAAAACAAGTAAAAAAAAAAAATAGTGCGACACGTTCCGTCATTAAATGCTCTATCGCCTTCGCTTAACACAGTTATTCATCGAATGACGTTTTAAAATAAAGTGTTATATGAGAAGTGCTCGAAAAAGTGAATCCATCCGAACCATTTTCAATAGCCTTCGTTGTTAAGACAAAATATGATAGTGTGTATATAGATAGAAGTCGAACACAATGAAATAAGACGAAGAGACGAACAATGAGACGAACTTGCTTAAAACAATCCAGAAAGTGACACTGATTCGGCCAGTATAATAAACGGTGCGTCTATTTCAAAGCCTTCTTGGTATCCGCACCTAGCTTTGACACGCAATTGGTGTGGGGTATAAAAATTAATAATTTCATAATTTGCAATTTTTCTATGAATATGAAAAAATCATTTTTGATAGCGTTGCATAAACATTGCTAATATTTCCCTTGGCCAAGACGTTTTCATTGTAAGAAAAATATTATCAAAATCAATTTGCATTGCCATGGGAAATTTTGAATACATGCCAAGAAGACTTCATAAAAAAAACAAAAAATAGTCGCAGAAACCGGTATGTTTTTTACCAATCTATTTTATTAAAACTTTATTACCGAGTTAGGAATTGGTCCATTCAATACCTCATTTAACAAAAGGCAAACCATTGGTAACATTTTCAGGAAATATTTTTAATTTTTATACTCGTCACCGAAGAATGAGGGGTATATTCGTCTTGTCGAAACGTTGGCAACGTCCAGAAGGCGTATATATTGTTGATCAGCATCAAATTGTAAATCGATTTAAGCATATCAGGGTATCCGCGTATCGGTCTGTCGGCTGTCTGTGTCTGTTCTTCTGGTCGCAAAAATGAATCTTTGAACTTCAGATTTGACTAAAACATAGGAACTTCTTTCAAGCAGGTTGGTATTGAAAATGGGCCAAATGGACAATCAAACATATATCAAAAGGAATTCAAAAAGAAAACAAAGGAATTCAAAACAAACAAAGGAATTCAAGAAGAAAATGAAATTGTTTACAAATCAAAGAAAATGTTTTCTACGCCAACAACGCCTATGGTAAAGTGGGAACATCGCTCGCTGTCAAAAGGAATAAAAAATTGTATTTTTGCTCATTATCCATAAACTATTACTAGCAGACAAATGTACAAAATTTGAGTCAATATTCTACAAGTAATGCCGTAGTACCTGTACAAAAATAGAAAAAGTTGGCCACGCCTACCTAATGTTATAGTGTATCAAAATTGAATTTTTTTTTTTATATTTTTATGATGCGCAGAAATAAGCTTCAAAAAATTGGTTCTTGGCCAGTTTCAAATTTGGAATGCATGTCCATCTGTCCATCTGTCCAACTGTGTAGTATCTGCGGTAAACATTTTCACGTACGCAAGAGTGAAGATATCTCCTACAAATTTGTAAAAGCATTTGGAAGTGATCTAAACTTTTCAAAGGCCACGCTTATAAGGTCCTCGCGCCTGTGTTTTGAAAAATAAAAGAAATTATTCTCACCTACTCCATGTTATAGAAGATGAAATTTTAATTCTTTTACTTTTTTTGTCTTTTTAGGATAAAGGCGACGGGTATATTATATTTGGTTACGTTCTTAACTGTTTTTTATTGGCTTAAACGATCTCATAAATAATGAACAATTTTATGAAAAGATTACTATGGGGATGGCTAATATTTAATTGGGAAAGAAAGTTGAGTTTTCAAAATTAATGGCGTAGCAGTGTTCATGTGATTGAAAGTAAAAACGCCGTCTTTTTCAAACACAATTTTGAACATGATTTGATTCGAAATCTATGAAGAGACATCTTTTAATGAAAAATTTATCGATTTTCAATATATATCAAAAATAATTTTTTTATTAATACTTAAACATGTGCTTAGTCTACTATTACGCAACAAATCTGTTGTTGAATATTCAAGAAGAAGAAAAACAAGTCTATGAAGAAATTCTCGATATTTTTTGATAACATTCAGATTTATTGAAATATTCATAGGAACTCCAATAATACAAGGTGAAAAAATCATCGACCAATTTTAGCACATCTTCAACTTTACAGAATTCTAGATCTCTTACATATGGCTGGAAACAAGTCTGGAGAATGTACGGTATGCGGGAGAAGCTCCCAGCTTAAGCCGAAGATCGCTTTTTTGGGTTACTTTGACTGGAGCTGGACGAAGAGAGAGAGAGAGAGAAAAATTAAGTAACCATACGTGTGGCTTCAGTTTCCTACATAAACTTCTTTCAAGCCGTGAGGCTTCGAAAACTAGATGAACGCAGAGAAAGAGAGAGAGACATTAACTAACAATATAGATGGCTTTAGCTTTCAAAGTCAAGTCGTGAGGCTTCGAAAAGTAGATAGATGGATGAGGAGAGAGGCAGGATATAACTAACAATACATGCGGCTTTAACTTTCGAAATCAAATCGTGAAACTTCGTAGATTGACAAAGTTTCGGATTTTCACTCATGGTGGTTGCAAGGCCAAGTGACATAAAGTGAAGGCGGGAGAAGTGACATAAACAACATTTGTGGATAGTTTCATTTCTCTCTCTCTCCCTCTCTCTTACATACACATACACACACACACACACACACATTCTCTCTAAAGGCAAAATGGCACTGTTTAAAATCATGAGTTGATTAAAACGCATTTGTCTCCCTTGGACAGATACTTGTGCTTATAGCAAACGAATTGACCCAAAAAATTTAATACGATAGTGCGATGGTGGTTATAAAATCTAATTTGAAATTAAACATAAATTAAAAATTAAAAAAAAAAATTCACATATATTTTTCTCTAAATTTGCTTAAATAGAATTATTTATCAAAATTTAGTGACATAATGTTCTTAAGCCCATTAATCACTTTATATTTTCATAATGCAAAAAAAATTGAAACAAAAAAATTTATTAATAAATTATTGCAATTTGTAAATAAATTATGAAAATAATACGAAATGTATTGTTGTTCTTATTAGAATTTAACTAAAAGCTAAAGAAATCATTTACTTGTGTTTACATATTTTTTTTTCTAACCGATTCATTATTCATCGTCGATTTGTTCACAATCGATTTCACTGCATTCCGAATCACTTTGGCTATTATGAGTCTGACCTAAAGCATTGAAACCGTAATCTGTGCTTAGAGATGATTTATGTTCCAAGAAGTTTGCGTTCGCATCACCGAAAACTCGCTGCAATTCAGCTAAACCATTAGTGGATGGCGGAGTCATTGTATCCGTTTCGTTAACATCGGTTAACGGTAGATTTTGTAAAACATTATATTTGAAATGTAAATAGGAATCTGTGTTCAAGGTCGGTTGACTTTGATAATAATCGATGAATCTAGAAGGCAATGATGACGATGATGATGACGAGGATGGTGATGATGCCATTAAATGAGCATTTGGAGAAGAACGTTGCGTTAGGAAATTACTTGAAACGGGAATTTTTCCATAGGGTAAAGTAAAATTTAATGGTTGACCACGTGATAGTAAAGCATTTCTAGCGCTTTCGATTACACTACTCGAGGCTGATATTGCTGAAGGTGGCGGTGGCGGATGTTGTGCTATTAAGCCAGGCGGACTGCCGTACGCACGTAAATGAGTATTCGCCAGGCCGCCGGTCGTTCCAATTGCCGGATTATTATTATTTAACATAATCGATTGTATGGGCGTCGGACCAGTTGGTGTTTGACTGAATAGCCAAAGACGATCCCCCACTACCATAGGTCGCGCCAGACCGCCCATACCTAGCTGGGCATAATAGTGAGAGGCTAGAGTCTCTACATCGGCAGTGTATTTGCGTTTCCATTTTGTCCGACGATTTTGAAACCAAATTTTTATCTATGAAGATAGAAGTGAAATAGAAAAAGGGAATTTTTCAAAATTATTTGAGTACATTTTGTTCATTACTAATAAAGATTACTTTTATCTGTGTTTATACCCAACACCACCTTGGTACAAGGATGCGGTTGTATGCAACACCCAAAAGAACTTGCGATGGGTGCGGCTTTCCTTATTTTTGATCAAATGACGCGTTTTGGCCTCAAATGCGAACGCTATTGAAAATGCTTCGCATTGGACCACATTTTCGACCACTTCCTACATACAATTTTATTTAAAAAGTCGTTGTATATATAACTTTATGATGGTGCAGGGTATTTAATAGTGGGCCATACTTTCTACTTGTGTTTTCTTCTTACCTGTGTTTCGGTTAAATGCAATTGTTTAGCTAAAGCTGTACGTTTGGCAACCGATAAGTATTTTCCTCGCTCGAATTCGGTTTCCAAAGCTTTAATTTGTGAGGCAGAGAAAGCGGTACGTGGACGTTTCTTACGATCATCTTGAGATCCTAAAAAAGAGGAAGAATATGAACACCGGCGAAATTATATGCATTTACGACTAAACTTGTGATAATCAAACTTACTTATCATATTTTCTTTATCACTTATTATATTTTCTACACTACTTATGGCACGAAAGCATGTTAAGTTTATGAGGATATTTGCAACATCCACGAAGACTTGGCATAGGGGCACCTTTTATTATACCGATAAAATCAGAATCGCTTTCTGAGTCGATTTACGCTTGCCTGTTCGTCTGTCCGTCTGTCTTGTTCTCTTGTGCTCAGCCGTCGCAATTTTTGAGAGATTTTTTATGAAATCTGCTACTCTACAGAGTTTTAACCCAAGGACGAACGCTATTGAAAATGATTCGAATCGAACCCCTTTTTCGAGTAGTACGCACCATTTAATTTGGTGGTGGTCGTGCCAGGAATTGTTAAATATAAGAAACACTTTGATGTGAGATCCATTAGTTATGACAGCATTTGCTGGAAATATTTTTCGATTCTGAGAAAGATTTAAGTTGTTTTTGCAGTGGTTTGAGTTAAGAAAAACGGCGAATGCAACCCTGATGTGTGATCATTTTCTTATTTCCTTATGAGAATGAAGGCAACTAAGTTCATGCAGTTGCAATTAAGTTGATATTGCCACAAGTATACGAAACATTAAACTAATATGTTGCGAACTGATTGAAGAGACCATCGTAAATGTGTAGATAGGTTGACCCTTCCCTTTGTTTCCTTAAAATGTCGGGATTTTCCGTAAGCAAAGTATCTTGGACATAGCCACTGACATTGTTTTATGCAATTTTAATGACAGCATCACTAGTATCATAAAAATCATTAAAGTTTTGAAGATTGGCAACCAATCTGAGCGGTCTTTTTGACAAATGCTGCAAAACAGGTACAAGCGGTAGCATAAACCTCTTCGAGAAAAGAGGAAGAGAAGGAATATTTAAGCTTGGAAGGGCACCTCTATGGTGCTGAAATCGCAGACTAATAGGAAATTTTATATAAAAATAACCGTAAAAACAAGAGTAAGAACAACAACAACGGCAAAAATTGCCACCACAACAAGAAACATTAGCAACAATAACAACAATAGTAATATCGGTAGTGATGGTAGTATAATAAAAAACATCAACAA